GCGCCTGGGGACGCGAACCTGGGAGGGCGGGCTGGAGAGCGCGGAGGTCCAAGGCGCGGCCCTAGCTGGAACGGCAGCAGGACAGCGCTGGGAAGGGGTCATCTCCGCAACCTGTGAGCCAGAGAGTTATGCAAATGGAAAAAGAAAACCTCGGCCTTCACCCCTGTGCCAAGTCTAGTCACGGAGTTTGTAGGAATCGTGGTAAGCTGAGTGTTCATCTTTCGAGTCTGGTTAGTGTCGGCCAAAATTTAAAACCCACCTCTCGAGCACTTTTTCTCAGTGGAAAAAGGTTATCATTGCCTGTGACTTAAAGGTTTAAAAAAGCTTAAAGGCCAGGAAGGAGGCAGTCCCCCGGAACAACAGGATACCAAAAGCAGAACACAGGTTGCAAAAATGATCAGAAAAGTCTCCAGGTGTCTATGACAGATCCTCTCCTAAGGCCTGCAGCCACTGCTCTCTCCCCTAGCTTACAAGTTCTCCAAGCCCGCCCTGTTGGATGAAGCAGCAGGGTAGAGAGAATGCAGGCATGCTGTCTTAGGGGCAATTGGGACTGTTCACATATAAAAAGTCAGGATATAAAATCTAAGATAGTTTAATAAATAAAGATAGACAGATATATGATATAAAAGTTATGTCTTCCAGGGCCACTCCTACCAGCTGGAGGCATATTTATACTCTTGTCAGTTTGACAAAGCACATGTGGAATATCTCGTTGCTGTTTAATTTTTACTTTGATGATCAGGACTTTTTCCTCTTTGCTCCTTACTTCCACCATTCTATTCCTATTAAACATGTTTCTATGTTTGTGATGGGGGACAATGGCATGTAGGGCTGGATCTTCTGAAAATACATTTGGAAGCAGCAGCAGAGCTAGAGAGATATGAGTGAGATGCTTGACAGACGCAAAATTGATGGGCTACCAACAAACTCAGCCACCAGGAGAATTAATATTTTAATGCAATATTTTTTTAAAAATCAAAATGAATGTAGACTTCCAGGATGGACATACTATTCAAATTTTGCATAAAAATTTTTTTGCATTAAAATATTATTTGTATTGCTGAGTGTATTGGCACCCTTGAAATTTTGTACCTAGGCTATGTGCTTCACTTGCCTCACCCCAGCCCTGTGGGGAAGTCGAGAAAGGCAATGATTTCATGAAGTCAGGGATTCTTGAGGGTTTCATACAATCTCTCTATTCTTTATCTGGGTAAGTCCTGTGAACAAAGGACAAGGATCGAAAGCCATTGGTCAACATCCCTCCTCTTTCTTGTGTTCAATAGGAAATATTTAGAACTAAAGACACACTAAACTTGAACTTTTTTGCATATTATATTCCCCCCAGCTCCCTAGGCTGGTACCCCAAATATATTAGATAGAGTCTGTTGCCATCTCAGTGACTAGGCATTCTTAAAAGCAATAACCTACAAATTTCCAACAGACCTGGGCAAGTTTACAGGAAGGCAGCATCTGCCTCTTAGCAGACTGTTACACCATGTGAATAATCAGACTGCAATCCTCAGGTGTGACCAATTCCAGTATGACCTCTCCTTTCAATTACAAGTCTTTCTGTCTGGGGGTGGAGGAAGATGGGGTAACTAAAGACTTGGCCAAACAAACTTTGTTTTGCATTCTAAGAATATTTAAATAAACAAGGAGAATGTCAGTAGTCAACCTACCAAACATTGCTAATTCCCTGCCCTTATTACATCCTTATTTCTAAATAAATCTCTCACCATCCTGATCTCAAATTTTGCTGAATAAAAATCTGTGTCCACCAGGGGTACCATGGAGATTCCAGTTGTGAGCCTGTTTAGAGGAAAAACCCTTAAATTTACCTGGGGGGACCATGGGGCTAAACGACCCTCTGCTCCAGATTTCAGGTGAAAGGGAAGACAAGCCCTTGCAGGGATTATAAAATGTGAGACTAAAATTCCAATCAATAATTATTGTGGACTTCATCCATCTCTTGGCCCCCTATATGGTCCTGAAAGACAGGACTGTATAAAACACGCTTAGGACCCCAGCTATGGCCTAGTTGTCTTGTGATCTTTGGGAGAGGGAAGAGGAATGGGAGAAAAATTATAGAAGAATTTAACAAGATGATCACGATGGTGACCCTCTCTTAAAATGAAGGCTCATGGGGGGAAAAAGACTGATAGACAAAGAGGCGCCAGGGCAGTATGATAAGCAGCAGAGGGAGGGCTGCACCAGCCTCTCCCAGTGCACAGAGGCATCAGCCCTTTGCCTGGAGTTGCCTAAGGAGGCATCACCCAGCAGGCCTAGGCTTTTTCATAGGAATTCCTTCAGAGGCCAAGAGGAGAGGAAAGGGCATTGGAGGCAATGGGGACAGAATGTGCAGAGCATGGAAGGGGAGAGCATGGCTGGTTGAGATGAATTAGGGCCCAGGTGTACCTGGCATGTGGGAGGCAGGAAGAGGAGGTGAGGTAGGTTGCACTCGATAATTAAGGCCTCATAGAGCCTGACAATGAAGCCTGAACTTCTTCCTCAAGAGACCCTGATCCTTCTAATGTGGAAAAGCAGCACAGCAGTAGTTAAAACTTTAAAAAAAGCAATCTTTCAGGGATGGATATTTTTCTCTCCAATTTCTCTGTAAAAGACACACCCCAAAACAGGATGTCAGAGAGACGGAAGATCCAGATCTGAAGATGATTTACATTCCACCTGATCAGAAATGCTACAGTCTGTGGATATTGTTCAGCTCAGTAAGAGGAAGGAGGGAGGGCACCAGAACCTTAGACTAGCACATTAATATTCATGGCCTTGGTGCTCTGCTAACTGTTGCCATTTACAGAATGTTAATGACTTCTGCAAAGGTCTGCCTGGTCAGGGTCTGTTATACATTCCACACATGCTCCGTGGGGCAGAATTCAACCACCTGAGCCCAAGGAGGGAATATGCAGCAACATGACAACACAAAAACCTTGCAGGGTTCTGTTGGCCCTGCCCTGGCCTAGCCGCCCCACCTCCCCTGAGTTTCAGCCCTGCTTCTGCCCCAACCCTGGGCCCACTCTCTTGTTGCTGGCCCAGTCTGGCCTGCCATGTCTGCTTATTTGGATCCTATCTCTGCTCTGAACTCTATTGCAGTGACGCAGAGACCTGCAAAGGGATAGAGGGATCAGTGGTAAGCCTATAGAGCCTAAAGATAGAAACGGGCAGGAGATGGCCTGGTGCCCCTCCCTCCTCAGTTCCCTTGACCCTGAGCCCCACTCTCTCAGGCACCATATGGAAAATAATACCACATACCACATCTTCTTTGGCTCTGATGTTGGGCTGTATCTTGGGACTTTTAAGTCCCTAAATTAATCCATCGATCTTTACTGAGTACCTGCTACATTCAGGGGTAGGTGCTCTTAGGAGGGCAAATAGATACATGGATGAGTCCTACACCAGCAGAGGAGACAGGAAGATGAATTCAGGCAGTCATTCATTTATTTAGCAGTTGAAATTGAGTGCCATGTCCTCTGGGGCACTGGGGAAACAAAAATGATGACACATAATGACCCTCTGTTAGTTGGGATGGGCCAGTTCATGCTGCTGTAATAAACAGTCCCCAAATCCCAAGGTATAACAATAATAGAATCTCTTCTCACACTGCTGAAAGTCCATGGCAGGGTGGGCTGGGAGCTCTGCTTCCACGTTAGCATCATTCTCACTCCTGCATGCAGGCCAACAGAAAAGCCACTACCTGGAACATACCTGGTCACAGGAAGAGAGCAAAGGAACCTCTAGAAAGTCTTACTCAGGCAATTAAATAGCCCACCAGAAGTGCTAACCATCACTGCCACTCACTAGTTGTTGGCTAGAACTGGTCACTGTAGCCTCCATCCCCCAGACAGGCGGGGGCTGGGAAGTTCTCCCATCCTCAGAGGTGTGGAGCCTGGAATATCTGGCAAATAGCACTGAAGACTGCCCTAGACCCTGTCTTCAGACAATTGGTGCATAGAGACAACTCAAGGTATAAACACATAGTAAATGGGAGCTAAATGGCACAGTCAGATAGTGCTATAGTAATTTAGGGAGAGCAAGGATCACAATACAGAGTGGGACAGTTGGACCCCCAGTGGCCCTGGGCCACTGCATACAGAAGACTTCCAATGGCTGGAGAATCCTGCCGACATCAGAGTAGCAACTACCCAAGCTCCTTTTCCCCTTCCCTCAATACGTCTCACCTCACAGGCCCTGCACATCCTTCCAGGGACTTCAGAACCAAATCAGCACTAAGGAGGCATTTGGACCCAGCAGAACGAAGACTTGTGTGTTACACTCTGTAGGATGTGAGAGACCACCTGGTCTATAGTCTTTATTCTTAGTAAATTCCTTTAGTAAATGAGGAAACTCAGTCCTAGAGAAGTTAACTGACTTGCCACACAAGAAATTTTTTTAAAAAAATAAATAACCAAAGCACTGTTTAGAGGTCAAAAACCAATGCTTGGACTTCCTAGTTTAAATTCACTGTTTTTTCTATAATGTCATGCTGGAACCAACACAATGCCATGTAATGATAGTAACTCCAATTCCATTTTAATTCCTCAGAAACAAAATATCTGTAAATCTGAAGTCCAAGTTTGTTTTAAGATATTGGTTCCAAATTTAACTAGCCTTGGTCAAATAAATTACTATAGAATTACAATAATTCTTGAGGGACTAAGATTTGGTAGAGTTCTTCCTGAAGTTGTTTTGGTAACACTTATCATGAAAACAAAAGGACTTTATTGTTCCTCACTTTCTCTATTTTTAACAGCTTCTCTCCTAATGCCAATCAGATGTATTCTCAGCGAATGGTTTTATGACACCTGCACCAAGTGTAACAGCTGTTCCCCAAAGCTCCCTGTGGAATTTTTATCAGTTAGCAGAATGACTGATCTGACTGCTCAGATTAGGTTATAGATCTCTAACACGTTCTGGACATTTGGCTAATCCATTTCTACTTCTCATTTACTTTTCAGGATCAAGGAACTGGTGTTCCAGGGCAGGGAACATTGCCTTTCGTCACCAATAACGAGCATTCAGGTATAACAAATGTAAAATCAGAGCTGGTCAAACGCGCTGGTTCTGTTGCAACCAGTATGTGATGCAGGGTGGCAAATCCTTCTCTCATTTAAGGCCCCAGTGCTCCACGGGCCGCTCCTCATTCTCCTGGCTGAAGCTATGCGTCCTCCTCCCTGAACTCCCCCCACCCCCCCGTGTCCTACTCCCTTCTTCTTACAGCCTGTACCTCGTTATTGGTACCTGGCTTAACTCTGCCACTTCTCTGAAAGGTCTTTAAATTTGGAGACGCAGTGATACCCATCTCCATACTTGCTCTCTAGTATCGTGGACGTCATAGGTACAACTTTGTGCTCTAAATGTTCGTCACAAGGATGGCACTTTGAAATAAGAAGAGTGTCACAAATCTTGTTAGCCTCTCCCTTCCTTGCATAGATGAGCGCCTTGGCGAAAGGTGGCTCGCTCACTCCATGGTAACCAGGGATTGTAGTGATGAAGTCACCGGGCGTCTGGGCGGCGTCGCGGTGGCACCTCAGGGCCTGCAGACACCGTGCCCGGCTCCGCGAACCGACAGCGCCCTCTGGCGGACGCGAGTGTGCCCAGCCCAGTTCTTCCGGCGCCCTGACCGCCTCTACTACCTCGAGTCCACGGACTGGGGCTCCAAACGCTAGGAGCAGTAGGATTACTGAACAAGCTGAGGGGATAGGTTAAGGAGCAGACCACATGGCAAGGGGCCATTGGCTTTATCCATATGCCCATCAGAAGCAGGGGACAGATGTAGTCAGCGAGCACCTGCTCTATCAAAATACTATGCTTGTTTTTTTTTTTTAATTAACTATGGGGGTTGTAGCCAACGAACACATCGAGAAAGAGAAAAGATCATGAAGGATTTTGGAGCCTGAAAGGTATTTATGGGCCAGGTTACCCACATCCCAGTAGCTATGACTTACTTACATGGCCACATGTAACTGCAAGGGAGGCTGGGAAACAGTCTAGTCAAGTGCCAGGAGGAAGAGAAGAGCACAGCGTTTTGGTGAGCAGAGAGCTATGTCTCCCACTTGGTCCTTTCCCCCAGTGCTGGAGATTAGGACGATCTATGTGGGTTAGCTAACCCTCAGTGCAAACTTGATCCAGTCTTCTTTTGCCTCATTCTTTCCCTATCTTATGTGTTAAAAAGAGCCAGAAAGACTCTACAGTTGTGGAAAGAGATGCAGGTGCAGGTGTGGGCAAACATAAAGGTGATGAAACAGGAGAAAGAGCAGTGTGCTGGGCTACAGTCGTCTTCCAGCTCCTCCCTCTCCTTGCCCATTAACCGGCCAAGGTGCTCTCATCTTTGGTGCCAATTGTGGTGTGGTGGGAGACATCGCCTATTGTTTCCTGGGGGGAGGATCCACTCTCAATCCCTGCAAGTGAACTTGATCAAGGTCTTCCTTTCCTCCAGGTGAACTCGGAGATGCTGCAGTGCAGCGTCGGGTGGAAGTGTCGGATGGTGAGTGACTTACAAGGCACCAACTTCAGATGTAATACTATTCTGTACTTTGAACTTTCAAGGAAGCTTTTATATCTATCCCTCTTTGATTACTCCCTTCTCAACCACAAGTTCAGGGCAAATATCATTATCTCCATTTTACAGATGAGGGTCACTGGGACTCAGAGAAGGTAAGGGACTCAAGTGCACAGGATGAGAGCCCAGAGCAGCACCTGGTTCCCTAGACAGGGCCTCCCTCCCATGCTCACCCTTACCCCATTTATCTGTGTCTGATCAGGGCACTAGTGGGTGGCTGTTCTACAAGTTCCCTGGAAACTAAGTCTCCAAGGAGGCCTCATTGCCCTGCAAGGCAAAGGCTGCTGCTCCAGTGGGCGGGTTGCGTGGAGACACTGGCCCAGACAGGAGAGCAGGCCGTCCCACCCCGCCTCAGCTGCTGCCGCCCACCTGGCCTGGGCGGTGAGGACATTAATGAAGGAGGGCTGGTTGGGGTACGTTGCACCTGGTCCAGCAGGCACTGCACTGGGCCGCACCAAGCGGCAAAACAGATGCTCAGAACACGACCTTTGCCGTCTGAGGAACTTAGAGCTCCTGGCACTCTGCTCATTGCTTTTCTTGGGGGTAGGGTGGGCGCTCACTTCACCCCCCTCTGCGTGAGGGTAGCTGCCGCTCAAGTTCTTATCTCACTGAAGGATTTTCTTTTAAAAGTCAACCTTTGTCCACTTCTCTCCTTTCCCCTCCCCTGTCTTTTCTTTCCCTGAACCTGTTGCACTTCTGTTGTTAACTTCTAACAAAGGGAGCTTTTCTGGATTGTTTTATTCTTGCAGATGCAAACAAGCTAACCAGGAGAGCCAAGCCAGGTCCAGCTGATGCCGGCCTGTGTAGGTGGGGTGCAGGAACCAAGCATTGGAAGCCCTCTTCTGGGACTTGACATTTCCCAGAGAGCTTGGAAAAATCAGGGAAGCCCTGCCCAGGACTAGGTCCCTTTAACCTCGAGGGTGTGGTCACTCAGGGCCCTGCATGGTGGGAGGGTCCCGGTGCCTGGAGTCTAGTGAAGGAAGGAGAAAGGGTATTTTCCTCCTCACTCCCTGAAAACCATGCCAGCTCCTTTTCCTGACCAGAGCCCTGCACCCCTCATCCTGTTTGGCTCAGCTTAGATGGCATTTCTTCCAAGTGAAATGCTCCCCCATCAGCCCTGAGTACTAGTCTACCTGTTGGTTTCCTCCAAAGGCAGAACTACAGCAAAGCTAATATGGCCTAAATTTTAGGGCCCCTCCCTTGCTCCTTCCAAGGCCCTGTTCCTAATTTTATATTCCTAATTTCGTATTCTTTTTCCTAAAGAGGGCTTTTCACATTGTTTAAGCTTCAGGCCACATAAAACCCGGGTCTACCTGTGGTCTTTCCCATTACCCTGCAAACTCCCTGATTCAGGGACTGTGTCAGATTCCCTGGGGTATTCCTAGGTCCAGGGCAAGGCGAGGCTTTCAATCAAGGTTTGTTAAATGAAAAGAACGAAAGGAAGAAAATATCCTTAGCTAGTGCTTAGCTGACCAGTGGTTCTCATTGGAACCCCAGCACTGTCACCTGAGTGCTCTGGACAGGCTGGCCTGGGACTTCAGGACAGTGCAGTGCAGGGTGGAGGCCAGGTGGGAAGCTCAGGGACTTAGTTCTAGGATCTTGGGCAAACTCCCTACCTCTCAGTGGGCCCCTGGTTAAGTCAAATGCAGGGGGTTTGTAACAACTGCCTTACAGGATAACCATGGGCCTTGTGTTACAGATGGCGCAGTACCTGACACTGAGTAGGTCTCAGGAAATTCCTTTATATACTCACTCCCTGAGGAACGCTTTGTTTGTACGCTTTTTATCTCTAGCGCTGACGGCACCCTCAAGGTTACCCTTAGGGCATTTTAACCAGGTGGCTCCTGCATAGTGGGGTTTACGTCCAGGCACACAAAGGGATTGGCTCTGGACCCAGGACCCCACTGAGGATGGCCCTGAGACCAAGTCTGGGGTTCCCCCACCCCCATACCCAGCTCTTTCCTACATTAAGATAGAGGGCTGCAGGAAAAATTCAGGGAACTCGAATACAAATATAAATAATAAGGGAACAAATCATGTGGCTAACCAGCTTCCGCTTGCAGCTGTGGTTGGCTTTTCCAGCTATTTGACTGAACTGGAGCCCCCAATGGCTGTAAAGTAGTCATTTTCCTCTGTCTCTCAGAGAAGAAACTGAGACTGATACGGTGTCAAACCACCTGCCTCACTAAGCCCCAGAGTTGGCGGGCGGCAGACCCGGAACCGCAGGCCAGGTCCAGGCCCTTGCCACCCTGGCTGGTCACGGCCTCCTGCCCCCTGTCCCTCAGCGCAGGATTGACACACACACCGCTCAATTCTTTTAAGTTTCCACACGGACTCCCTCGTCTCGTGGGAACCAGGGCACCTGCCAGTGTAAGAACTGACCTTGCCAGCCCAGCATGGAGCTTGTCTTTGCGGTTTTTCTCTAACAAGAATGGAGAAGTGGTCAATGTTTCTCACGTTTTCCTCTGGTGACGTCCACACAGTCTGTGTTTGCATGTGCCAGAGCTTGAAAATTCAACAGCTCGGTGGGGAGGGTGGCAGAAGGCAGAGCTGGGGGAGGGGGGCAATTTACCATTTACTGCAACATGAGTTCCGCTATTCACTTTTTACGTAGGAACAGTAGTAGCAGTAACAATAACAATCAATAAAAGGACAAAATACACGAAGCAGTGATTTTTTTTTTTCAAGATGCTGGGTGTCAGGCAGCAATGAACAGTGATCCCTCTGAACTGGGGAACAAACCAGGTAAGCCCTGTGACTGACCCAGCCTGAAGCCTTGAGAGAATTTCCAGGCCATAGTGCAATGAGGGGAATGCAGAGCCTGGTGGACTGCTGAGCTGAGGAGGTGGGGCTGACTGTCTGGGGAGAGCACAGTGGCTAGAGCTGGTATGAATGACAGTACTGGAGAGGTGAGAACTACACAGAGGGGCTGCTCAGAATTCGGGCCCTGATTAGTGTGAGGATTAGTGTTCGTGGGGAAACCACTCGCCTGGGAAAGAACCTCCTGAAAGGATTAGAGGGAGTAGTGCCTGGTGCTAGGAAAGCTGCCTCTTCCCACCAGCCAGAGTGAGAAAGCTCATCATGCACAGTGCCTCAGATCGAGTGCTTAGAAAGGCCTCGCCCTATTAGTCAGGAACAGTTAGCCCTAGACTCAGCGCTGCACCGTCTCTGCCTAACAATTAAAAAATAAGACTCAAAGGAATCGAGCTATTTCCAAATAACATAGCTATGCCCCAGAGCAAAGCTTAAGAATACTTAAGGGAAAACACAAATACCCGTTGTACAACAACTTAAAATTCACAGTGTCTCACATCCAATCAAAAATGACCAGGTATGCAAAGAAGCAAGAAAATATGTCCTATGGTAAGGAGAAAAATGAATCAATTGAAACTGGCAGAGATGTCAGAATTAGCAAAGACGTTAAAATGGTTATTATAAATGAATACCATATGTTCAAAAGGTTAAATAGAGAGAGACTATTAAAAAGACCCCAGTCAAACATCTAGAGATACAAATCTGAGAAGAATACATCAGATGCGGTTAATGGCAAATCAGACATTGCAGAAGAAAAGGTTGAGTGAATCTGAAGACATATCAATAGAAATGATCCAAAATGTAACAGAGAGAGAGAAAAAAATCCTTTTTAATGAAAAGGTAGTCAACTAAGGTGTGGAACAACTTTAAGCAGCCTGGTATATATGTAACTAGAGTCCTGGAAGGAGAGGAAAGGTTGGGAAGGACAGAATAAATACTCAGATCCAACACACTACCTTCTTTTATTTTTGACATTTTCAATGTAGGCAACTAACTTGAAAATTGAAAACTTCTTGTAGGACAGACATGCTGGTAGGCTGTTGGTTTGAGGTCACTGGCATAATGGCATGAGGAAGAGGGGATACCTTGCATGGCAGTACAACTGCATACTGGGGGCAATTGCTTTTCTCCCAGAGTACCACTGCCCAAACTGAGGCTGTCATCAGAGCTGCTTAGTAAGATGCTGAGTCTACTTTGTGCTTTGATGGAACTTGAAAGACAAGAACACTAACAGGAACAGAATACTCAAGGCAGTATCTCATAGGGTATAACTGGTATAGTATTAAATGTAAATATAAGCCCCACTGGTGTAGAGCAAGTGAGAGGTGGGGTCCTGGCTAACTCAAGGGCAGGGACTGCTCCGTGAAGACTGCCATTTTGACTTTTCCTCTGAAGGGAGAAGGTGTACCCTTTACCTGCAGGTCACAGGCTCAAAATCAGGCTGAATTTAGATATGGTTGAGTTCCCTGCAGTCTCCAGGCTGATTTAAATGCAGATATCTTGCTCTTTCTTCCTCTAAATTCTTGCCAACCTGTTTTCAACCCATATCTGAATAGCCAATCATTTTTCTAAGGAGATATTCTGAGTTCTGAAAAGAGCTTTTTTTCCTGTTCCTTTGAAAACCTCCATCTTTTAAAAAATAGAGGGGACATGCTTGATTATTTGCCTGATGACAATGTAAGTCTGTTCTGAAAGAATATTGGGGGAAAAAAAAAAGCCAGTTGAAATTCAATCAAATGCCTTCTCCCATAGCCTCCTGCACTTCAGAAGTTTCAGGACAGCACATGCAGAAGTGCCAAATGCTTTTTTGAATCATCCAGCCAAGTGCCCCCAGCTAGGTATGTTTCATGTGGTAGAGCATTGTGCAGGGCCAGCTCTACAGCTTGTCAGAAGAGGGTCAGCTCACAGGGAGTGTGGATGTTGGAGGTTACCTTCCAATTGCCAACCAGCAACCCTACTTCCTCGTTGAGGTTGTTTTGTTCTGCTATTGGTGCAAGGTTATGTTTTTCTCACAGGCTGGGTCCTCCCCACTTCTCCAGCCCCAGGGGTGAGTTCCTGATCAGTCTAAGGCTCTAAGCCAATCCCAGGAAGTATCAGGCATGCCCCTTGCCTGTGATTAGTTTAGGCATGAGTGTATGATATAAAACTATACAGTGAGAAGTGGGAGTGAGGAGTCTTCTGGGGCACTTTCTGAGGAGAAATTGATGAAAAGAAACAGTTCCTTGATAGTGCCTGAAATACCACTATTAGTGATTATTTTTCCTTTTGAATTAATTATTGTCCTTTTCTTTTAGATTAATATATTTATAACACAGATAGCTCTGGAAGGAGTAATACTTGGACTCACATGGTTGTGAATTAGTTGGTCAGCTCTCTAAAAGGATTTAGGTGGTATAGTGGGTTGCATGGTGGTCCCCCAAAGATAAGTCTACACCCTAATCTCTGGAACCTAATTTTTGGAACTGTGATAGTTACCTTATTTGGGAGAAATGGTCTTTGCAGATGTAATTAAGTTAAAGATCTGGAGATAAGGAGATATCCTGGATTGTCTGGGTAGACTCGAAAGCCAATGACGAGGTATCCTTATATGAGGGAAGCAGAGGAGATTCACAGACACAGAGGAGAAGGCTATGTGAAGACAGAGGCAAAGACTGGAGTGATGAAGCCACAAGCCAAGGAGACCAAAGAACGCTGACAGCCCCCAGAAGCTGGAAGAGGTAGGGGAGGATTCTCTCTTAGAGCCTCCAGAGGGAATAAGGCTGTATGGACACCTTGATCTCAGACTTCTAGCCTCCAGACTGTGAGAGAATACAATTTCTGATGCTTGAAACTTCCTAGTTTATGGTAATTTGTTGCAGTCACCACAGGAAACTAAGCCAGGTGGCATGGAATTGCTGAGTGTTTAAATGAAATCAAGACCCAGAAGGGGAAGACTGCCGGTCACGACTCTATAGGGTCAGCCTTTCTTCAGAGTCTCAGCCTTGACCCCAAATGGGCCAATTAGCCTATGCCTTGTCCATCCTCAAAGATGAATTCATAAGCCCTCTGGTCACACATTTCATCCCGACCATGCCTGTAGATGTTACTCCTCACCTTGGTCATATGTCTCTCAGATGCACACCCCTGGGCACAAGGAAGTGAGATAAAACAGTATGGGAGATTGTTCAGTACAAACTTTTCTCATTTCTGGGGGTACAACTCATAGGGCCCCGTCTCTCTAAGAGCCTTCCCGTTTCCATAAGAAAAAGAACACAGATTCACTCCTCTAGGTGAATCTGCCCAGGTAACTGACATGGTTGGAGACTCATGCAGCTGGAAGTATAAGTTGGGAGCAAAGGAACTAATGCTTGCCGTGCAGGTACTGTGAGCCTGGCCCGGTGCTGATGCTTTACCTATCCAATCTCATTCAATTCTCACAAGAATCACATGAGGTGGGTAGTAGTAGTATTCCCCTTTTCATGGGACCACGGGTCACTCGGAAAGGAAATGATAAGGTAGTTGCCTACCTTGGGCTTTGCAGCTTGTTTCAACCCAGGTCTGGTGAGCAGGACAGGTGTGAGCCACAAGCCTGTTTGAAAAGGGAGGCAGTTCTGTTGACTTCCATTCCACTTTCCCTGAGCTCCAATCCACCCTCCCTCAGCCTACGGAACACACTGTCCTGGGACAGGTCTATTCACCCTGTTTAAACAGGGCCATTGGCTTTCAGGGTGGTGTCACAGGGAACAGTGCCAGACTTTCCCACCAACCCTTGTAGGAAATTTTCCAGTGAGCATCAGCTAAATTTTTAAGAGAAGAAGTTTCAGCATACCATGAAGAATGTAAGTTTTTAACCCCCAATTTCCTGGTCAGTATCACCAATTTCTCTCTTGTACCCCAAAGTTTGGGAAAATGATGCTTCCTTTTCATGGCCTATCTCCTTTGGGAGGTAACTGTCCTTTCCCAGGAAACTGTTCAACTGTCTGATTTTCAAATCAAGCAGCCACACACTTGTTCCTTCAGTTAATACGCTTGGTTCAGAAAAAGCAGGTGGAAGGTATCTCTGGAAAACTGTTCTGGGAATATGCATTAAGACTGGTCTCTCCTTCACCAGTCTGTTTGCTCTATTTAGCTGCAGAGTTTACCAAAAACTCTTCTGGTCACTGCCCAGCAGGATCTGCAGTTCAGCTTTCCTTAGAACTTGGACTGGATCCAGGTTCTAAGTCCCTGCCTGACCAGTTACCAGCTTTGTGATTCCTAGTGAATCACTTAATGGCTCTGAGCCTCAGTGTCCTCATCTATACAAAAGAGGCGAGTCATCCCTGCCACCTACTCACAGTGCTGACTTCAAACAATGAGACAACACACTGAAAACTCTAGAAGCCTGTGCAGTAGTTAATAATATCTTTGTGAAAAACCTTGTCCCACTAGGATATTAGCTCTCACCTCTTTGCTCAGCATTCAGCACTGGTCAGAGAGCCTCAACTCCAATAGCTTATAGTACAATATAGAGAGGACAACTCTTCACATCCATTTACACTAATGGCTCAGCTGTGGTCTACTCTGAGTTGCAGTTGAATAGCCTAAAACAGGATACTATACCATGGGGTGGGGGTTGGGAGAGATGTCTTTGGATGTCCCTAAGGAGACATCCTTTGTCACCATATAGGAACCCACACAGCACCATTTCTGATAGTGGCATCAAGTGTCAGCTGGACCCCTTCTGTTAACTCTCTTTAAGGGTCACTGTCTCATGTGGGTCAGTTATGACTGTTAACAAATGCTCTATAAGTGAGAATCCAAACCTATGTCTACTTTTTTTTTTCTTGCTGGAGTCACATAGAGAAGGTTTGCCTCCTTTTTTAAGGATACTT